TGTTCAGTCAAAATGGCAAACAAAATAAAATTAGTAAAATAATTTGTCCCTGTTAACAAGCTACAAAACATATCCAATTAACTTCTTTTAATAATTATGTGAAAAAGTGAAAGGACTTATATGAACCAAATAAGAGCTAATATATTAATATGGCTGATTAAATCGTGCTAACCCCAACAACATTTCAGTGCACAAAGAAGTTCGAAATAACTTTTACTAACAACACCATTGCAAAGAAATCAGCCAATAACATTGCCACCCAAAAGTATTTTAAATGATTTTGTATCCTTGGAATAGGTGGAAAATATTTAATGGTGACACTATATTTGACAATTATTTATAGGAACTTATGAATTATTTTTGTACATAATTAATTAAATAATACTTATCACTAATTTTCTAATCTCATACTTTTAAATGTAATTTGCATGTTAATAACAAGGAAAACTTTGGAGAAGAGAGTACGAATAAAAAGTAAAATAAAATTACACACATAAAAAAAATATTGGTTGATGATGTATTATATAAAATTATCATTTAGTGGAGATGTTTCTCTAGATTGTACCTCATAAAATCAAAATAAGTAAATATATCAACAATTATGAAACTAACGCCTACCATATAAGGCAACGTTTCAAACCATTATGAAGCCTTACGACAAAAGAAGGCAACGATTCATTAATGCACTCAACAATTACCTTCTATTTTAATATGTGTATTAAGAAGCAGGGGTTGTGATGATGTTGGATTTCCTCCAAATTCTCACAACGAGAAAGAAGTGTAAGAAGAGGAGAGAGAGACAACACAATAGTTAGAACTTGAATCTAAAGGCCTACAAAAAACTCTTCACATTGTTCTCTACATAGGACTGTAGGACTATAAAAAGATAATAGGAGTACCACCAATTGAGTTTTTTATAGAAGTATAAAAAGATAATAGGAGTACCACCAATACAGTTTCATGAATTCTTGCAAGGTACCCATTCTAATTTTAACGTTGTTTGTTAATAAACCATTTCAACTTTTTTTTTCAAGTCAATCTTCTCGCTCAGTATCTCTCATCTCTAATGTGGTTATCTGGAATATTAATATTACAAAATTACATATATTCATTTGTTTATTAAATGAAGTGACAGAACGAGAACATGAATGATGTGACAAAGCGAATGTCTTCAAACGTGTCAAATGACATGGAGTAGTTTGACGAAAATAAATACAGGTTTCTCGCTGAACTTATAACTTATTTTTATATTAATATGTACCATTCGTTATTTATGAAATTTATTCTGTACAAGTGTTATGGAAGATATTTATTATGTTATGATTTTAAAATATATTAATTTGCAGGCATGTGATGACTAGAAAAAAATATATGGTTATAAATTAATTTCATTTTTTCTTCCGCCAAATAAAAATGATTAATTAATATGCAATTTGTAAGCAGGCATAAAATATTATGGATGATTATTTTCAAGGTTGAAAGATATAAATTAAGCTTAAATTAATATTTAAAAATATTCTTGAGATCATGTAAAAAATTAAAGTTTACATAAATATTATTTACCAATTAATGACATGTTATCATAAATCTGAAGTCTCTTGAGAGAAGCATAACATATTAATAATTTATGTATTACGCTGGACAACAAAACATATGAACAATTTAAAATTTGTGATATATATTGGTCATTAAAAGCTCTTGAATTTTAGTCTTATTTTTTTAAATAAGTCTCATTTAGTTAAATGGGATGAAAGAAGAAATTACCTTACCGTGTTAAACTAATGTGAAGAAAGGACCATGGTAACCAGAGGAAGATATAAAGCTCTAAGCATTTGTTGAAGAAGAAGAAATTGATACTTTTAAATAGTACATAGAATATATAGAACCATACCCTTAATGTAATCATTTACCTGATTACCTAATTTTTAATAGGTAGATAAAGGATGACTCATTACTTATAGGTGTATACGATGAAATTGCAATTGTTTGCATGACATATACTTTAAAACATGAATAGTGAGGCTTAAACTAATGCAGAAACGAGAAATCAACCTTGAGAAGATAATTATGCCAAGCCAATTGATATCAGTATTGATGAAGGATATGAAAAATATCAAAATGTCTAGAAGAACAGATTTAGAGTCCGTCGAAGAGTATATTTGTTTGCCGTTAATTTATTCATAAAGGATCTTAACATTATATGAGAATGCTAGCTTTTGGTATATTTAAATTTATTATTTAAAATTAAAAAAAATTAAATTATATATATATATATATATAATTCACGTGCAACGCACGTGTAGAAAGACTAGTACTATATTAAAAGTGGGAAGCCCTCAATTGAAAAGTTAAATTACCATAATACCCCTGCTTAGAAACCTAATTAGTATCTTAAATAACCTTACACTACTTAATGAAATAAAATTAACTAGAGAAGCCAAGACTTCAACCAAAAAAAAAAAAAAAAACGAAGCCAACGCTTCAAAGAGAAAGAAAAAAGCCAATGCTTCATATGCATTTTGGCAGAAAACCTCTTCTCTGAAAAAATATACGCCTATAACAGTCCTAAGCCAATGCTTATACGCATTCATCAACAACTGGATAATTCTGATGCCGCAAGATTTACTCTTTTTGCAGGTGTTCATTAGTCTCTAGGCTTATTTGTTATATATGCCAACAATATATAGCACTATTGTTTTTGAAGGTGACAGCATATAACATTATTGTCATAGAGAATCTTGTGATCGAGTATAATATCGTTGCTCTAAAAGTTTATATTGATGACTCTTTTGTTATTTGTTTATTCTTCGTATATACTTTGTTAATATTTAAAGCGATCCAGTAGGACTACAAACTAAATGTGATCGGCAGGAAACATACACCGAAACGGTTATCCCTTGGTATGAACTAAAGCTTTTAACGATAACTTTTTTACCATGGAGCACAATTCATAAGATACTTGGTTTAATATATATCCTCTTTTCATGATCATAACTAAGTGGGAATGAATTACAAAGATTATCCTTCGATTAGAAAGACCAAATATTTATACTTTAAGTCCTCTTAAGAAAGATGAGTTGCAAATAGAGACTAAAGCACTGCAAAATCCTCCTTGATAAAATATGATGTGATTCAATCACGTGTTAAAATAAGCATCATGTCCAAAGGAACTTAATGGTACTTTTGTTTTGGTCACATTGTCTTCTTTGCCACTAACCCCGAGAGAAACGCTAGATACTCTCATGTATATTTTTAGTGGCTAAGAAAGTATATCTAATAAGGTTTAGTGTTGCTCTGTTGTTCATATGAATTTATTTATTCTTCAGGCAATGGCTTAACATCATTCTTAAGTTACACATTTATATTTGTCGTATCCTATTCTCTTAATTTATACGTGAGTATAATAAGATATTAAGATAGTTTAACGATTATTGGAGGATTGTAGCACTCTCTAAAGCTAAAACTCTTTTTCCTCGATCTTTTGCTTTTTCCCTTTTTCTGATTTATGTGATATTTTAAAACTCCAATGGTCACCTTATTAATCCTAAAAGTCACTATTAATAAACTAATTAAAGAAATAAATAATTAAAGATAATTATACATGAAAGAATAAAGTACAAAAACTATATTTACAGGAACTATGACTAAAGTAAGATGGTATAAAGGGCTAAATATTCCCAAGTATAGTCCATAAATGAAAAATGAGCTCAGTTTGCTTGAGAACCACATATACTATTATGTACTTTCTTAAGAGTTCAAACTTTTTTTTAAGAATATCAACATTATATATTTCAAGGTAAGTATAACCGGAGTTAAAGAAAAGTATGTATAACTAGAGATCAGCCTCCCCGGATGTATAGTTAATTAAGAAAAAATTTTATGTGTGAGAATAGGGGCAAAGATGAGTTGTGAGGATTCAATTCTTTCCGAAGTAGACTCAAATTTTCATGCCTTTTTAAAACTTAAAAGATGCAATTCAATTAGGGGTGGAACCGTGTTTTATTAATGTCGAGTTTTTGGTAGCGACAGAACAACCACTCTTTCTTCTACATGTGCTGGGCTCAATGCTCATAAGAAATTACTTATAACATGAGACGCAATGAAAAAAGAGTACAAATTGAAGAAGATTGAATTTGTACTCTTAAGTATCTCTTAATACTTAAAGTTTAAATCTAGCAAGAAGATTGAAGAATAGTAACAAAAAAAATGTAAAAGTCCATATGGAAGATCAATTCAAACTTTTTATGATGGTGTTTGGAAGTGGAACTGAACCTAATAGTCTTATATACAAATAATTGAGCGAAAAGTAGTGATCACTGACCATGTAAAATGAATTGCATTTCTATTCCCTAGAACCCCTACAAGTATTAAGAGTAAATTGTCTTTAGATGCTTTTTGAGAGTCATGATAAAGTGACTGAAACGGAGGCAAGGAACATACAATAAAAATATTATCTATAAAGAAGTATTAGGTATCTCATAAAATCAAAATAAATAATAATAATCATACGTGTCTAATTAAACTTTGATTGTTCATCCAAGTAGTTGGATATCCAATCTCGACAAATGATTCACCATATCAAGCCACATTAAGCATAACGCCTTGTAATTAATTCTTTCAGGTAAAGTTACTTATTCAAAGCTTTGCATTAATAATTTGACTCGGTACACACATGCGTTCTAGTAATATAATGCAGAAGAAGAGTTTTGTAAGCGAGGTGTTCCATAGACATTGTTACCATGCCTTTCTCTGTGGTGTGTGTAATGCACTTTTACTAGCCTGCCATTTGCTTCCAGTGCGACTTATTAGTAGCACCCACTAAGTGTCTTATGCATGCACCAGGTTGCTGGCCATCAATCCATTTTCAGTGCATTCAAATATCATATGACAGCTACAAAATCCACAACTTATAGGAGTGGTTTCTACTTTGGCAAGAAAAGAAAAAATCTACTTATAGGAGCATATAACAGCTACAGATCGACAACCTATAACAGCAGTCATTACTTTAAGAAGAAGCTATTGGAGCAGATAGGTACAGCCACATAGTTTCTAGGCTTTCTTTCCAAAGTTAGGACAAATATTCCAGGGTTTCAAATCACTAGTATTATTCTTATCACTTATAACAAAAGTTCATTATAAGTAGTTAGTCTTTGTCTACATGGAACGAAAAGGATCATTTCTACTCACCCGTTGTAGATGAGAGAGAGGTACAAAAGGATCATTTCTATCCACTTCCATTTTCACGAAGCTTTACGTGGATGGTACCACTCATACCGCACACAACCAGCAAGTAGTTTGCCTTCCACGACCTGGAATGGAAAAATGGATGATCGACATCACATACATGCATTACGAAATTAAAAGGCCAAAGAAAATATGCACCACTCACTAAGGATCAGGAAAGAGCCAAGGCTTTACCATTTACTCCATACCCTAAAGAGCTGAAGAGGTTCATGTTCTCCCGTCAATGTCACAAATATACGTGAATACCTCATCATGTTGTGTTCATAGCTGTACCAACAGAATACATTTCAGTCAATCATTAACTGCTAAAATAATAAAGTAATTCAACAGTCTGGGCGAACTTGTATTATCTGATCACAAGTCACAACTATTCTCGCAAATAAAAGGAAGAGAGAGTAAGAGGGTTTGGGGGTAGGGGGGTG